GAAAATAATTTATTATTATTATTATTAATAATAACTCTATTATAATAAATAGCTAATATATTATTATTATTATTATGATTATAAAGGGCAAATTTATTATTATTAAACCCATTTGAAAATAATAAGTCTAATATAATAAAGAGCTAATGCACTATTATTATTATTATGATGATGATGATCATCAGATGGGGTAAAGAGTCCTGATGCAGAATGAGACTGAGATGTGTGTTGTGTTTGATCTCCAGACTCCAGCTGAAGGTTTCTCCGGATCTGGAAGGAGGTGGAGGATGTTGTGTGTGTGCAGGTCAGCGGTCCGGTCCTCAGCAGCGTCTCACGATGAAGATCTTCAGGCTGGACTCTGGAGAAACACCTGCGAGCTGCTGGGCCTCCAGGACTCACTCGTTGTTTAACAGAGTTCCTCGAGTTAGTCGTAAACTGGACTAACATCAGCGGACCCGAAGGCGGACGTCGATCGGATGCAGCGCAAATAAACGATGGACAATCTCATACCGGAGAACTGTGACCGACGGAGGGAATCTATGAAGAGTCGTGTAGCTCCTGTCCTATTATTTATGGTTCTTCTGAAGGGCTTGGCGCTGATGAAGGATCACTGAGAACATCCTTCTCACACTGTGATGTGACCTTCCAGACGGTTTAAAAAGCAGATCCTTTCCTCCGAAATCTCCCGCAGGTTTGCTCAGTTCTGGTCTGTAAGTGCTGCTGAAGTTTACTCTCTTCACACAAACCTCTGCTGCGTTTGCTTGAGCTCCCGCTCTGCATTATTAACCAATAACACACACTCATTTTACCTTCTTCAACATGACGGACTCATATCCTTATAAACAAGCTCTTATTGTGAATGATTCCTCAGTGCACGTTATTTCCAGGAAATAATGTCTGTCTTTGTAACTGTCCATCAAAAGGTAGTAACTGCATCTCCAGCTAACAGAGAACGTTCCCATAACGTTCTTTAAAGGTTATGTAAATGTCAGGACAGACATTCTTAAAATAATGTTTATGGAACGTCCTGATAATGTTTTTAATATATGTTCTCATAATGTTTAAGGAAGTTCTCAGAACTTCATGTTCAATAACATTCATCAGTAACAAGAACCGAAGGTTTTCATAACGGTTTCAAAATGATCAAATGGAACGTTCCTCTAACGTTTGCAAACCCAAGGAAAAAAAATGTCCTTTAACTATAAAAAAAAGAGAGAACGTTTAAATGTAACACTCTCATAGTGTTTTTGAAAATGATAGAATGTAACGTTCCTCTAACATTTGCATAACCGAGAAGAAACATAAAAATGTGTTTTAAACATTTAGAAACAATTCAAATGTAACACTCTCATAACGTTTTCAAAATGAAACAATGTAATGTTCCTCTAATGTTCGCAAAACCAAGAACCATCCTTAATACATAAAAAAATACATAAGAAGCATTCTGAATACATTAAAAAATAATATTTTCGACATTTAAATAACATTCAGAAATATCATTTTCATAATGATTTCAAAATGATCAAAGGGAACGTTCACAAAACCAAGAAACGTTCTTTATAAAAATGTGTTTTAAACGTTTAGAAACAATTCCAATGTAACACTCTCATAACGTTTTCAAAATGAAACAATGTAATGTTTCTCTACTGTTCGCAAAACCAAGAAAATGTTTTATTTAAATATAAAAATTAAGTGTTTTAAACATCGAGAGGACATTTAAATGTAACGTTTTCACGTTTTCAAAATGATAAACGGAATGTTCCTCTAACGTTCGCAAAACGAAGAAGAAAAAAACGTTCCTTAAATATTATAAAAACAGGTGTTTTAAATGTTAAGGGAGCGTTCCCGTGTAACGTTCTCATAACGTTTTCTAAATGATAGAATGGAATGTTTCTCTAACGTTCGCATAACCAAAAAGAAACGTTCTTAATGCATAGAAATCTTGACGTTTTCACATTTAAAAATCACTCAGAAATAACGTTTTTATAATTGAATGGGAATGTTGGCAAAACGTTGTTGGAACGTCTTTTGTTAGCTGTGTGTCGTTATGGTTAAAATGGTCCGCAAACAGCGTTTCATGTATACGTTTACTGTGGTGCTTTTTTAAAACAACGTGAACAGCAATATGATCAAATACACCGATGTTCAATCAATACTTACATTTATTAACACTGATAACGTGTATAGTTCATAAATGCGATTTTTCGGTTCTCAAACAGCAGCAACTCGATGCATCAAAACAATATAATTTGCATTTGACTTACATTGACTTCAACAGGATTCAGAGTCTGAGCGATTCATTCTATAAGCCACTGTAATACACTACAACATTTTATGAACACATTAATATTTTCATGTTCAGAACTCTTGTAAAGAAGAGCTCGTTTCACCTTCATATGTATAGAAAGAAAGCTGTGATTTCATTTGAACGTCTGAATATAACACTGTAAAAGAGCCACTGAGATGGATTTATTGATGATGATTGCCACTCTCAAACAATCCATGATGTCTGAACACATGCTCCATTTATTTCTGAAACGCAGACGTGTGATTCAGTATGACAAGCACATATCCAAAGGATTTTTATTATATCACACTCGCGTTTATTGGTGCGAAATGCAAAATTATACTGAAAGGAATGATTGACTGTCCCTCAAACACAAACCATACAAACACTGTCAACGTTTGTATGAAAATCTAAGAAACTGAAAAACATCAGGTGAATCTTGGAATGACTGACTCTGAATATTCATCTATAAATCTTCCTGAAATAATAACAACATTGCATCTTCTGTGTTGTATGACGGTTTTGTTCTTTGATTCAGGTCTGCTGTGTGATATTGATTACTGTAGGTGTTATTAATGTTCTGTACTCTGATGTTTCTTCACGTGCAGGATCACAGATGATGGTTTATCTTCATATTTCAGAAGAAAACTTGCACTGCAAAAAATAAGAGATTTGCTAAATGCTTTTATGATCTTGCATATGAAATGCACTTTAGCGAGTATCATTTTGAATGCAGGTGTGACACTGTACAGGTGAACCTCACAATCCATAATAATAATAAAAAAAGATTATTATAATTTTTTTATGCTTTGTGACAATTTCATGACACGCTCCTGGATTGTTATGCATTTAAAAATCATGATAGTATTTGGTCTTTAAAAAACAACAACAGTATTTTATGAATAGAAGTTACTTTTTATTTAATTTATTTTGCATTACATCAGTGTTTTGAGGGAAATGTCATGAAACTAATGTCGCAAATAATTCTATTATTTTTTATGTTCCTTTTTTCATTTGAGTTTGAGGTTAAATGTGTCCTTAATATATATTTTTTGTGAGATTCACCTGTACATTTTAAAAACTTGACATTTATTAAAATGTGAGTTCAGGCAGAATGGAAGAAAGACTTTATGTGATTGAAATTTGTCATTTTTATTGTCACCATTTTCTTGCCAACAAATAGCATATAGTATGAACTCTAACTGTTCAGTGTTTAAGCATCAAATATTCTTTTGCATAATTTTATGAATCCATATGTGACTTTCAGGAATATTTTACCAAAGCGAACAAATATGAGATTCAGCACATTTTGTTTTTTAAGAGTTATGCATCATCACTGAATTATAATATTCATGATTATGGCATAAACTAGTTTCGGTTGCCACTGTGATTCTGAACATGTTCTGTGTTTTTCTTACAGATGTGCTTTGATTCGTTTGTTGTTTATGAAGTTATGATTACCCATGAGCCTCTTTCTCAGCCGATTCACATGCAATAACTGGTAAATATACCAACACTTGTTTTTTTCTCTGTGATGAAAAAGTGAAGCCTCAATCATCCTGTCTGAATATTCCCTATCAACATTTGCAATAATAATAATAATAAAATCATGTCCTGTTTCTTTAAGTCTGTTTTCTGTTGAATGTTCCAAACTTTGCTATTCTTAAAACTTTCACTAATGTTATTTAAATGTTAGGACAAAATGTTATTAAAGTAATGTTTATGGAACATTCTTATAACTTTGTTAATATTTTGTATACGTGCTCATAATGTTGAGATGATGTTATTTGTACTGAACATTTAAGGAACATTTTTGTAACCTTCAAATAACGTTATAATCACAAGAAGAAAACTGGAAATGTTAACGTTCGTAGAATATTAAAAATAAACATTTGAATAACGTTATATTTTGGGTGAAAATAAAGTTAGCAGAACATTGTACGAAATGTTTTTGTAACCTTTAAATAACGTTCTAATCATGACGAGAAAACTGGCAATTTTAACGTTCGTAGAAAATTTTAAATAAACGTTTAAAAAAATTTATATTTTGGGCGAAAATAAAGTTAGAAGAACATTGTACAAAACATTTTTGTAACCTTTAAATAACATTCTAATCATGTCGAGAAAACTGGAAATTTTAACGTTCGTAGAATATAAAAAAAAAAACATTTAAATAACGTTATATTTTGGGCGAAAATAAAGATAGCAGAACATTGTACGAAACGTTTTTGTAACCTTTAAATAACGTTATAATCATGACAAGAAAACTGGAAATTTTAACGTTCGTAGAATATTAAAAAAAAAGTTTAAATAACGTCATATTTTGGGCAAAAATAAAAATAGCAGAACGTGGTAGGAAACGTTTTTGTAACCTTTAAATAACATTATAATCATGACGAGAAAACTGTCAATTTTAACGTTCGTAGAAAATTTAAAATAAACGTTTAAATAACATTATATTTTGGGCGAAAATAAAGTTAGCAGAACATTGTAAGAAACATTTTTGTACCCTCTAAATAACGTTATAATCATGACAAGAAAACTGTCAATTTTAACGTTCGTAGAATAATCAAAAAAAAAGTTTAAATAACGTTATATTTTGGGCAAAAATAAAGATAGCAGAACATTGTACGAAACGTTTTTGTAACCTTTAAATAACGTTCTAATCATGACGAGAAAACTCTATTTTAACGTTCGTAGAAAATGTTAAATAAACGTTTAAATAACATTATATTTTGGGCGAAAATAAAGTTAGCAGAACATTGTAAGAAACATTTTTGTAACCTTTAAATAACGTTCTAATCATGACGAGAAAACTGAACATTTTAGAAACATTTCAAATCAATGTTCTCATGTTTTCATAACCTAGATGTGTTCCCTGTGTGGAGGCTTCAGTCTCTCAGTCTGTGATATGAACTAAACTCAGCACATCCCCACAAGCGAAGCGTTTTATAACAGTCTGTATTTGGGAAGAACCTGCTGAACTCCAGCGACTTTAATGTTTCCAGCTTCAGAAAGGTCTGAGAATAACCTCACAGAGACACGCGTGTGAGATGGAAGCGCGTCGCAGGTGATAATGAAGCAGCGACTCTATTAATCAGCGGCTCATGGTCTAATTGCAAACAATGGCCGACAATTAAATGTCAAGAAAAGCACAATTAAACGTCATTAGCGTCTGCGCTCCTGTATAAAGACTCCAGATGTGAGCCGGGCAGCTTGACACGACTCAGTTGTTGCTTTTATTTCATTTATTCTTTCACACAAATGGCTGCATTTAGAAAGAATGCAGCAGTGTGTCAGGAACAGTAATAATTACCGTGTTTACACTGTTATTATTATCTTAGGCAAGAAAAGACTCCTGCATAGCAAAAGATGCCAAAGACACAAATGTACACAAGATCATTTCCGCCAAAGGAAAAAAGAAAAGAAAAGAAACAGTGAAGTTTTATCTCACAATTCTGACTTTTTATTGCAATTCTGAGAAGAAAATGTCAGAATTGTGAGATATAAATTCTGAATTCTGACTTTTCTTGCAATTCCAAGTTTATATCTCACAATCATGACGTTTTTTCCACTCTAAATTCTGAGTTTGCATCTCGCAATTCTTTTTTTTTTCCCACCATAGAATTAAAAATAAGGGGAAAAGTCAGAATTGTGAGATACAAACATGCAATTGCAAGAAAAAAAGTGAGAATTGTGAGACAAAAGGTCATATTTCCTGGCCGAAAAAAAAACAGGATTGCGAGAATATAAAGATAACTTGGTATCAAGATATAAATTCAGAATGTGAGACGTAAACTTTATATTTTATATTTATTTGAATTTATATCTCATAGTTCTGACTTTTTTCTGAGAACTGCAAGAAAACTAATCTGGAATGAAATA